CACACACACACACACACACACACACACACGCTTGGCTCTCACAGTCACAGGAAACTGTGAGACAACCTCGCCCACAGTGGTCTGTTATAGACCAATCAGAGTAAAGAGCAGGTGACGCTGACATTGCTGCTTCAGCTGAATCTGTAATAACGTCTGTGTAAATCACAACTACATCACCCAGTGGATCGTGTCATCTAATCGGAAAACTTTTGGAATACCTCAGTGTCAGACATCGAAAATGTGCTTGGGGTCGAAAACGGGCCGACCGTGGCTGGGTCTGACGCTCGCTAGCCCCGCCCTGCGCCTGCCCCTGCTTCCTGGTCCTCCGTGACTCTAAGAGGAACATCATTTCCAAACCAAAGGTCATGTTTATGGTTTGGGTCCATTCGGACGTGAAGCTGTGCTAGAAACAGGAAGATGTCGTCCATCCTTTAGTTTGAAAACGTTCATAGATTTCACTGGATTCATTTCATTGTCTGAAAACATCGTTTTGGCTGTTCGGGAGTTTTTATGAACCTCCAAACGGCCACGGTCATGTGACGGCTCTCATTTTGAGCTTAATCAGGGTGGTGGCTCTGTGACAAACCGACCCCTGACCTCGGGATGGTTGGTAGGCGCCTGAATGAAGGTGTGATGTCACAGTGATTGTAAAAAGTGCTCAGAGACAACAGACAGGTCAGAGGTCAACCTCAGACTGTGCAGGTGTGTTTAGGCGTGTGTCTGTACTCGTGCGATCATGTGTACATATATACTGGTTGCAGGCGGGCCTCAGGCTGGCGAGGACGCGGTTCCTGTTTCTCGTAAGTCGTCACTTTTAAGAAAAGAAGTTTATGTTCACCCGCAAACTGTTTCAGCGCTGGTGTTGTAACATCGTCTTCCTGCCGACCTGAGATAACTTCTCCCTTCTCTTCTAATGCTGCTGCTCTCTGTAACTGACAGAGGCTCAGTGTTCAAGAACAGCCTCCTGTTCCTCATGTGGCCTGTTGGAGTCCTGGTGCTGGGTCATGCTGCGTCCCTCAGGGATCAGTTTAGGGCCCTTTGAAAGCGCCTCCATCATCTCGCTCCATGGCTATGCTGATGACACCCTGCTTCATGTCTCCTCTCACTGCTCGCGATTCACCAGCATCTTCATGTGATCTAGGCTCAGACACTAGTGTAACGCGTGTTAAGGGAAACAACGCGTCTGAGCACCAGCGCAGCAAACAGCCCGATGCCTGTGAGCCTAACCCCGACGTCTATTCAATGCCACGCTCGCTGCTGCGCTACAAGCACGATCGTTGTCCTGCGGCCTCAATGTTAGCGCCAGAGGTTTTTAAATGAACCGTTGGTCATGTGATGATGTCTCTCTGCTGTTAGTTTAAGACCACAGACTGCAGGACTGTACCACCAGAACAGCAGCTGATTAGCACGACAGTGTGTGAGCTGTCACTCTGTAGTTACACCACAAGCCAGTTAACAACCTGCAGAAAACTTAAAACAGATGTTGCACACATCTTATTACAGTCTAGTCTTGATCCCACGAGTCTGCCTGCAGCTTAACGGCCTGCAGGGCGAGGTGGTTGGTTCTACTGGTTTCTATGTAACGTCGTCCAGTTAAACACGGATAAAACAGAAACTATTGCTCGCCATCACATGATCTGTTCTTTAGGCTCCTCCGTCACAAATGTGGGCGTCGTATCTGAGAGCTGAGTCTGTGTGAGAGTCACGGTTCAAACATCTGTAACCTGTGCTGGTGTCAGAGGCTGAGGTGATTCTTCATGCTTTGACTTCTTCTGTAACCGTCTTTTTACTGGTTTCAACCAGTCAGCGTTGGATCGCCTTCAGACTGCACACGACGCTGCGGCACTAACAGGAGGTCACATGTTACTCCAGATTTGGCTTCTCCTCGTCGGTCGTTGGTAAATTTGAGGTTTCATGTAAAATGTTAGTTTGGGCTTTTTGAGCTCTGCGCGGTGAAGCTCCCCAGCTGATCTCTGACCTGCTGAGGCCTCCTGCTTCTTCCCGAGCACTCGGGTCCTCAGGTCAGAGGTCGCTGTCGGTCCCTCGTACTGGGTTCAAACCCCGCGTGGGTCGTCAGGCACGAGGCTGTCGTCTTTACGCCGTGCACACTCCACTGACTCGTTTACAAAGCAGCTGAACAAATACAAACAAGCTTTTAATGAATTTCCTCATGTTTTATGTTATTTAGTTACATTTGTGGTTATGACAGTGCTGGCTACATTTTACAGGTTTTACACTGAACACATCATCAGAGCGTCTCTGCTGAAAATGAAAATATGAAACATTTGTTGAATATAAAAATCTAATATTTACTTTCATTTTAAGAATACTTTTGGGAGTACTTTTATACTTTTTGTTTTGTTTCTCAGTGTTTACTAAAAAGTATATGTATGTTAGCGCTGGGCCCTGCCCCTCTGCAGGCTTCCTAAAGTTGCCGATCAGCAGACAGAGGGGAGGCTTCACCAGGCCTCTAAGAGACACAGAAGGATTAGTTTGATGTGTGAATCATGCAAAGCTGCTTTAGGAGAGTGGAAGACTAAAGAGGTGAGCTGAAGCACCGCGATCGTGCTGATGTTTGTCTGAATGATGAGCAGGACCGGGTCAGGGTCAAGAGGTGTGGCAGCATGCTGCCGCCATGGCAACGCAGCGGCACAGCTGAGGGCTCATTACAGACCGACGGCCATTTCTTCTTCTCCTGCTGCTTTGCTCCGTCACGTTGAAGCCGTGGGTATAAATAGCAGCGCGATGGCAGACAGCTGACTGTCTTGACTCACAGCTCCACTTCCTCTTTCAGGCTCTGTGTAACAGGAAATATAGTCCTCGAGCAACCAGCCAATCAGAGTGCAGCTTCTGAGAGGAGGAAATAAAAACATGCACCGAAAAGAAGCCGCGCATGAAAAGGTTTCCTCCTTTTTGCAACAGTGATGCTCACATTTGATGTTCTCTTTAACAAAAATCTTCCAGGATTGAAAAATAAAAGCAGGCAGTAAAAGAGAGGCGTGGCCTCTCACGCAGGTGGCAGTAGCTGCTAGCTCGGTGTCTTTGATTGGATGTTACTGATTAGACCACTGATAAAAACATCACGTTAAACTAAAGTTTGTGTGGCCGTCACAAAGTTTATGATAAAAATACACATGTATCATATTTGAAGAACAATAAAAACGAGGAAACACAAAGATACGACCACACAGTGAGAGTTCATATCTGTGTTAGCTCACTGAAATATGTGCCCATCCATCTTCATAGATGCATAAATAAATGAATCATTTAGACTTTCCCGGTGAGATAAACGCTCCCTCTGTGCAGCTGATCCATCTGGTGCAGCGACGGCTTTCTGCACGCGGCTGCTGACGAACACGTTTGACCCAGTTTCCAATAAACTAACTCTGAGCCGGAAACTTGAACCTGCTCTCGCTTTGAACATCACCTCTGAAGAAGCTCTGTCCTTTAAAAGACTTTTATCTTGAAAAGCATCTGAGAAGGAGAACTTCCTGGACTGTAACTTCTGGAAAAATACATATCTGGACTCTGAGGCTGTGCCTGGTGTGAAACCTCTGTTTTCAAGTCTCTGTGCGTCTCTGTTTATGTGTCAGGTCGGGTCTTAGACTCCACCTGTCTGGGAACATCTCAGCCCCTCCCCCCCC